TTACATTTAGGTCTTTAATCCATTTTGGGTTTATTTTTGTGTATGGTGTTAGAGAGTGTTCTAATTTCATTCTTTTACATGTAGCTGTCCAGTTTTCCCAGCACCACTTATTGAAGAGGCTGTCTTTTCTCCACTGTATATTCTTGCCTCCTTTATCAAAGATAAGGTGACCATATGTGCATTGGTTTATCTCTGGGCTTTCTATCCTGTTCCATTGATCTATATTTCTGTTTTTGTGCCAGTACCATACTGTCTTGATTACTGTAGCTTTGTAGTATAGTCTGAAGTCAGGGAGCCTGATTCCTCCAGCTCTGTTTTTCTTTCTCAAGATTGCTTTGGCTATTCGGAGTCTTTTGTGTTTCCATAAAAATTGTGAAATTTCGGGCTTCCCTGGTGGCGCAGTGATTGAGAGTCCGCCTGCCGATGCAGGGGACGCAGTTCGTGCCCCGGTCCGCGAAGACCCCGCATGCCGCGTGGCGGCTGGGCCCGTGAGCCATGGACGCTGGGCCTGCGCGTCCGGAGCCTGTGCTCCGCAGTGGGAGAGGCCACAACGGTGAGAGGCCCGCGTACCGCAAAAATAAATAAAAAATAAAAAAAAAAAAAAATTGTGAAATTTTTTGTTCTAGTTCTGTGAAAAATGCCAGTGGTAGTTTGACAGGGATTGCATTGAATCTGTAGATTGCTTTGGGTAGTATAGTCATTTTCACAATGTTGATTCTTCCAATCCAAGAACATGGTATATCTCTCCATCTGTTTGTATCATCTTTAATTTCTTTCATCAGTGTCTTATAATTTTCTGCATACAGGTCTTTTGTCTCCTTAGGTAGGTTGTTGTTTTTTTTTGGTATGTGGGCCTCTCACTGTTGTGGTCTCTCCCATTGCGTTGCGGAGCTGTGCTCTGGACGCGCAGGCTCAGCGGCCATGGCTCACGGGCCCAGCCGCTCTGCGGCATGTGGGATCCTTCCGGACCAGGGCACGAACCCGTGTCCCCTGCATCGGCAGTCGGACTCTCAACCACTGCGCCACCAGGGAAGCCCGTTAGGTAGGTTTATTCCTAGATATTTTATTCTTTTTGTTGCAGTGGTAAATAGGAGTGTTTTATTAATTTCACTTTCAGATCTTTCATTGTTAGTGTATAGGAATGCCAGAGGTTTCTGTGCATTAATTTTGTATCCTGCTACTTTACCAAATTCACTGATTAGCTCTAGTAGTTTTCTGGTAGGATCTTTAGGATTCTCTATGTATAGTATCATGTCATCTGCAAACAGTGATAGCTTTACTTCTTCTTTTCTAATTTGGTTTCCTTTTATTTCTTTTTCTTCTCTGATTGCTGTGGCTAAAACTTCCAAAACTATGTTGAATAACAGTGGTGAGAGTGGGCAACCTTGTCTTGGTCCTGATCTTAGTGGAAATAGTTTCAGTTTTTCACCATTGAGAACGATGTTGGCTGTGGGTTTGTCATATATGGCCTTTATTATGTTGAGGTAAGTTCCCTCTATGCCTACTTTCTGGAGGATTTTTATCATAAATGGGTGTTGAATTTTGTTGAAAGCTTTCTCTGCATCTGTTGCGATGATAATATGGTTTTTCTCCTTCAATTTGTCAATATGGTGTATCACATTGATTGATTTGTGTATATTGAAGAATCCTTGCATTCCTGAGATAAAGCCCACTTGATCCTTTTAATGTGCTGTTGGATTCTGTTTGCTAGTGTTTTGTGGAGGATTTTTGCATCTATGTTCATTAGTGATATTGGCCTGTAGTTTTCTTTCTTTGTGGCATCCGTGTCTGGTTTTGATATCAAGGTGATGGTGGCCTCGTAGAATGAGTTTGGGAGTGTTCCTCCCTCTGCTGTATTTTGGAAGAGTTTGAGAAGGATAGGTGTTAGCTCTTCTCTAAATGTTTGATAGAATTTGCCTGTGAAGCCATGTGGTCCTTGGCTTTTGTTTGTTGGAAGATTTTTAATCACAGTTTCAATTTCAGTGCTTGTGATTGGTCTGTTCATATTTTCTATTTCTTCCTGGTTCAGTCTCAGAAGGTTGTGCATTTCTAAGAATTTGTCCATTTCTTCCAGGTTGTCCATTTTATTGGCATATAGTTGCTTGTAGTAATTTCTCATTATCCTTTGTAGTTTTGCACTGTCAGTTGTTACTTCTTTTTCATTTCTAATTCTATTGATTTGAGCCTTCTCCCTTTTTTTTCTTGATGAGTCTGGCTAATGGTTTATCAATTTTGTTTATCTTCTCAAAGAACCAGCTTTTAGTTTTATTGATCTTTGCTATCGTTTCCCTCATTTCTTTTTCATTTATTTCTGATCTGATCTTTATGATTTCTTTCCTTCTGCTAAGTTTGGGGTTTTTTTGTTCTTCTTTCTCTAATTGCTTTAGGTGTAAGGTTAGGTTGTTTATTTGAGATGTTTCTTGTTTCTTAAGGTAGGATTGTACTGCTATAAACTTCCCTCTTAGAACTGCTTTTGCTGCATCCCATAGGTCTTGGGTCATCGTGTTTTCATTGACATTTGTTTCTAGGTGTTTTTTGATTTCCTCTTTGATTTCTTCAGTGATCTCTTGGTTATTAAGTAGTGTATGATTTAGCCTCCATGTGTCTGTACTTTTTACAGGTTTTTTTTTTTTTTTTTGCGGTTCGCGGGCCTCTCACTGTTGTTGCCTCTCCCGTTGCGGAGCACAGGCTCCGGATGTGCAGACTCAGCGGCCATGGCTCACAGGCCCAGCCGCCCCGCGGCATGTGGGAATTTCCTCTTTGATTTCTTCAGTGATCACTTCGTTATTAAGTATCAACCACTGCGTCACCAGGGAAGCCCTATTTTTTACACGTTTTTTCCTGTAATTGATATCTAGTCTCATAGCATTGTGGTCGGGAAAGATACTTGATACGATTTCAGTTTTCTTAAACTTACCAAGGCTTGATTCGTGACCCAAGATATGATCTATCCTGGAGAATGTTCTATGAGCACTTGAGAAGAAAGTGTATTCTGGTTTTTTTTTGGATGGAATGTCCTATAAATATCAGTTAAGTCCATCTTGTTTAATGTATCATTTAAAGCTTGTGTTTCCTTATTTATTTTTATTTTGGATGATCTCTCCATTGGTGAAAGTGGGGTGTTAAAGTCCCCTACTATTATTGTGTTACTGTCGATTTCCCCTTTTATGGCTGTTAGTATTTGCCTTATGTATTTAGGTGCTCCTATGTTGGGTGCACAAATATTTACAATGTTATATCTTCTTCTTGGATTGATCCCTTGATCATTATGTAGTGTCCTTCTTTGTCTCTTGTAATAGTCTTTGTTTTAAAGTCTGTTTTGTCTGATATGAGAATTGCTACTCCAGCTTTCTTTTGATTTCCATTTGCATGGAATATCTTTTTCCATCCCCTCACTTTCAGTCTGTATGTGTCCCTAGGTCTGAAGTGGGTCTCTTGTAGACAGCATATATATGGGTCTTGTTTTTGTATCCATTCAGCCAGTCTGTGTCTTTTGGTTGGAGTATTTAATCCATTTACATTTAAGGTAGTTATCGATATGTATGTTCCTATTCCCATTTTCTTAATTGTTTTTGTGTTTCCCCTAGAGAAGTTCCTTTAGCATTTGTTGTAAAGCTGGTTTGGTGGTGCTGAATTCTCTTAGCTTTTGCTTGTCTTTAAAGGTTTTAATTTCTCTGTCAAATCTGAATGAGATCCTTGCTGGATAGAGTAATTTTGGTTGTAGGTTTTTCCCCTTCATCATTTTAAATAGGGACATACCATTTTAGAACATACTCTATTTCACTCAACAAACAGCATATTTATTGTGTATCTAATTTATACAGTACTGGACCTCTAATGAAGAATAGAACATACTCCTCAAGTAAACAGTGTGATAAGTCCTGTGATAACTGAGCATAGGGTGCTTTATGAAATCAGAGAAGGCCCTCCACCCCTGGAAAGCTAAGTATTGGAGGAGTAGAAGAAAGCCAGGTATAGAGTCGTGGTAGGGCAGGAATGAGGTGGGGAAGAGTTGGGGTACATATGGAGTGTTACAGAGAAAACGAGAACAAATATAAAGGCTTTCAGGGAACACATGCTCATTGGTGTACGGGTTTGTCTTTGGACACACAATCCCTTAGGTTTTCTTCTCACAGTTAATATTTGGGAAGGCAGCATGGTTTAGCGAGTAGAGTCAGGAAGCTTATCATTCTGACAAACCTTTATTAGTACCTACTCTGTGTCTGGTAGCATAGATAGAAAGATGAATAAGGCACACAGCGACACTGCCCCTCCAGGAGTTCACAGACTAGTTGAGGAAACAGTATAAACACATGCTATAAAAGTGTGCTGAGTGCTGTGAACAAAGTGTCCCAGGAACCTGTTCCTGGAACCAGCGCTGTCTACCCTGCTGTTTGTGGGGCTGTGGGTGTTTGAGGGAAGGCTGTAGAGAGGAGGTGATGTGTGGGCCGAGTCTTGAAGAGCAGGTAGACACTTGCCTGGCAGGTGTGTATGTCTGTATGTGTGTGTACAGGCATGCATGCACACAGTGGTCTAGCCCAATAGAACAGCATGTTCAAAGACTGGGAGGGGTAAAGAACAAGATGTATTTGAGGAACCACATGGTCTCCTGTGCAATTGGAAGCATAATGTGTACCTGGAGTTGAACAGAGAAGAAAGACTATAGAGATAGCCTGGGGCAAGATATGGTTTTTGGTATTTACTTACTCTGTTGCTGACCTTTTGGGGGCTCACCTTTCAAATCAGTAAAGGAAGGAGATCTCCTAGGCACCCCCAAGGTAGTTTATCCTTAGTCTTCTTGTTTTATTTTTTTCCAATATAGTATTAGCTAATTGGTAAACTGGTATTATCTAGTGATCTGAAATATACCAACAAGTGTAAAAATCCCCAAAGAGAGCTCAAGAGACATTTATAATTGTCAATTCTCAGGATAGTGAATCCTTTAAAGTCTGTGCTGACCTTGATATTTTACGTTGTGACTCTTTTTTTTTTTAAATTAGGTTTAACCCAGAAGAATTTAGCTAAAAAGTTTGACTTCCCCATACCTCTGAATGAAGCTTCCAAAATAATGAAGAAAAAGAAAAAGGTATATTATTGTAAAGGGGAATGAGTGATATTTTGAATTTTAGATTAACCTGTCTAAATACAAACGTGTGAAGATACTCAAGACATTAAAAATAGTGCCATCTTTTGAAAAATTTAATTTACTGAGATGAGAAAATAGAATTAATTTAGCAGTAATGAAACTGGGTTTGGAAATATTTATTAACCATAAAGAATAGTCCTTCCAGTGTTTGAAGATATAAAACACATTTTAATCAAAATGTAGCTGACTGTGAGGTTTTTCAAAGCATGAAAATATATGTTCCATAGAATATAACAAACTCAGATAGTGTTACATAAGAAAATCATGGATTTCACAGAAAAGAAAAAGGTATCTATATTGGTGTCATACTGCTCTTTTAAAGGCAAGGGGTGTACAAGTTTCTAGCAGGAAAGCTGACAAGCATGAACCTTTATGCTGAACCATTTTCATGTCTGGCTGTCCAAATGTCATGGTAACTTTGAGTGTTTTAAACATATTCAAGGGACTTCCCTGGTGGCTCAGTGGCTAAGAATCCACCTGCAATTCAGGCGACACAGGTTCCAGCCCTGGTCCGGGAAGATCCCACATGCCGCGGAGCAACTAAGCCCGTGCGCCACAACTACTGAGCCTGTGCTCTAGAGCCTGCGAGCCACAGCAACTGAAGCCCGTGTGCCTAGAGCCCGTGCTCTGCAAGAAGAGAAGCCACCGCAGTGAGAAGCCCGCGCACCGCAACAAAGAGTAGCCCCCACTCGCGGCAATTAGGGAAAGCCCGCACGCAGCAATGAAGACCCAACTCAGCCAAAAATAAATAAATAAATAAATAAAATTAAACATATTCAAGATCAGTTACTCTACTAATCTTTGTTTACCACTATATATTTTACACTTCAGTTTAAAGAAATTGTTAGTTGATAATGACACATAAAATTATATTATTTCTGAGCTTTGAGTTTGTTTGATTTCTAATACATGTATAGTATAAAATAGCATTCAAAGCGACTAATCCTTGTAGCAAGTGTATTTTGAGTGAGCATTTAATCTTCCCACTATACTAAGAAATTTTTCTTCTAAGAACCAGTTCCTCTTGGGCAATAGCCAATATTTACCTGTAACTGCTTTGTACCAGACACTGGGGTAAGTGCTTTACCTATATTTTTCATTAATTCTAATAATCCAGTATTTGAAGTTATTCCTAGATGAGATTAAAACACTTGCCCAGTGTCAAGCAACTGGTTAAGTGGTGAAGCCAGAATTTGAGCCTAGATCTATCTGTTTGCTTCTATAGTCTCCATTCTTCCTATTCTAGTATATTCATGTTCTCTAGTGAGTTTGCTTTGGTATGTCCTAGGAGAAATGTTTAATTATTAACTAGAATAAAATACATTAAAAATAATATCATTGTCCAGTGGTTTAGACATAGACATAGG